GTTAGGTTTAGGGTTAGGTTTAGCGTTAAGCGTTAGGGTTAGGTTTAGGGTTAGGTTTAGGGTTAGGTTAAGGGTTAGTGTTAGGTTTAGCGTTAGGTTAAGGGTTAGGTTTAGGGTTAGGTTTAGGGTTAGGTTTAGGGTTAGGTTAAGGGTTAGCGTTAGGTTTAGCGTTAGGTTAAGGGTTAGGGTTAGGGTTAGGTTAAGGGTTAGGTTTAGGTTTAGGTTTAGGTTTAGGTTTGGGGGGGTTAGGGTAAGGTTTTCGCGTTAATTTTAACTTTACCGATCACAGCGTGATGTTTTCGTCGTGCTGTGATGACGTCAGGTACGCGCTTTTGTCGAGCGCGCTTTAGTCTACTGCGGTTTTGTGGTGGAACCTTTATTTGTACCCTATCCCATTTTTATTATTCTTACAAATAACTCAAGGCGTTGAACATATCCAACACACCTTCCTCCTCCTCTTTTCCCCACAACAACCTTGTGAGATGGATTGAGCTGACAGAGTGACTGGCCCAAAGTCACCCAGCTGGCTTTCATGGTTAGGGTGGGACTAGAACTCCCGGTCTTCCACACATTGCACAATTATATTACCAACTGTGACCTTTCCCTGGATCATAAAGCTTTACTGTATCACCCATGCATTTGTCACTTCTCGATTATTACAATGCGTTCTATGTTGGGCTTCCCCTATAGACCAACTGGAAACTTCAGCTGGTACAACAAGTGTTTTCCTCCTCCATTACAGAAGAAATCCAATTAACAGAGATAAATCAACTCAAGTACAATTTTAACAAACTGTCACACCCTTGACCATATATAATTAAGAATCACCTAATGAAAAATCAGTTATCAATATAAAGTATTGTCAAATTACTAAACGACTTTATCAGACTTGTCTTAATTTTCCACAAAATATTTTATTATTTCAATAATAATAGTAATTGAAAAAAATAAATACGTTTTTTTTAAATGGTACAAGTCTGTATCTTTTCCCAAAAGCATTATACTTAATTTGCAAGGTTTTGTGCCATTGTATAAGTCAATGAATCATTGTGAATACATAATACATAAAAATGGCATTTGAGAGCCAATTTGGTATAACCAGTTAAGACACCAAGGTTCCTACCATGTTTCCCTGAAAATAAGACAGGGTCTTATTTTGAGGGAAACATGATAGTAACCTTGGGGTCTTATTTTCTTTTTACCCCCGAAATAAGCGTTTGGCCTTATTTCCGGGGAGGTCTTATTATTTTTGAGGTGGTGAGCGTGGTCACTTTATAGCTGTTGCTGTGTTGCAATATTTTCGGGGGGGGCTTACTTTCGGGAGAGGTCTTATTATTTTTGAGGTGGTGAGCGTGGTCACCTCATAGCTGTTGCTATGTTGCAATATTTTCGGGGAGGGCTTACTTTCGGGAGAGGTCTTATTTTAGCACATGCGCTCAAAAGCCTGATTGGGTTTATTATCTAGGGAGGTCTTATTTTTGGGAAAACAGGGTAGTAACTGGGGGATCATGCGTTCTAGTCCCATCTAGTCCCAAAACCAAGTGTGTTATCTTGGGACAGTTATGGAAGAAAACCATGGCAAACCACTCCTGAAATCTTGCCAGGAAAATTGCAGAGATTTATTCAACCAGTTGCCAGGAGTCAGTAGAGCCCAGGTGGCGCAATGTTTAAATGCAGCACTGCAGGCTACTTCAGCTGACTGCAGTTTGGCTGTTCAAATCTCACCGGCTCAGAGTTGACTCAGCCTTCCATCCTTCCGAGGNGCCCTTAAGATAGTGATCAGCAAATATAAAATTACATATTCTACCTATTTGAAGTGCATGGATGATTATTTAGAAAAATAAGTACAATGCTTATGAAGTTGAAATAGAGAAAAAAGGGATATGTTGAATGACTAAGACCAGGGGCTAACAGAATGTTCTTGAAAAAATCTTCAGGTATAGGGTGCTAAACATTTTGGTTTGAAATGTACTGACTGTGATACTACTATTTCAAATAAAATCATAGTATTTGGGAAGCTTTAGGCATTCCAAATTCTAAACATTTAGAATATGTGAAACGCTAGATGTTTCTTACACTGGATTATCTTCCAAACATTTATACGGGGATAATTTTAAGTACAACATTTTGCACATCTCTTCACTACAAGTTATTAATGGAGACATCAGGTTGATGGGATTAGCCTATATAGTCAGCAGGAATCTAGGTTGGCTTTTAAATTATGCTTATTTAATCAGGGTAATTAAATTTGCATAATTAATATGCTTTATTTTTCATTTTTAAGACAATCAACGTTGGCAATGTTCCAAAATTTATATCTAAATATGTACTGAGCTTTTAATATTGTGACCATATGAAGTTACACTTTCGTTTGAAAATCTATTGATTTCCTTTTTCTACTCTTTCAAAAGCAAAGGTAATTGTCTTTGAGGTAGCAGAGAATACAATAGTTTGCATCTCTTTTTGTTATTAGTATAATGGCAGATATCATGTTTTTATAAGACAACATTCTTGTCTTAAAAAACAGTCAACTCTTGAGGGAAACTCTGGAAAGTAATCACGAGAGTAATCAAGGAAACAGCGAAAAGTTGTGCTGTTGCTTTGTTTGGTGTGTTAAATTAAATATCAAGGCAAGAAAAATGTGTGTCTAGTCTTTAAAATGATATAGCCCTTGTTGCCTCCTGTGATTGGAATCCATAAACATGAGATGGAAATGTGTGGGATTCAATCTTGGTTGAAGAAGGAGGAGAGAAAAATTAAAAAACTTGAGCTGCAGAGACTCAAACCTTTAATCACTACTAAGGCTAACAATTACCAGAAGGGTTAGAGTACACCCAGATAGTCTTGGCTGAGATTGCTTCAAAACAAAACAAAACAAAACAAAAGCACCAGATAACATTTTATTTGCGTGGCACGACAAAACCGCGGACCACTAAAGCGCGCCCGATTAAAGCGCGTACCTGACGTCATCAGCAGCGCGACAAATACGACCGCNGGGGGGGGGGGAGGAAGGGGGAACATGCCCCATTTACCCCACACGCCCTTACCTAACAGCTGTTCCAGCAACCCTAGCTCCTTCTGTCACGCTAATGGCCACCGCAAAAAGAGTGGCGGACACAGCAATGCGCAACACAGCAGTAGCCATGAGGTGACCACGCTTGTCTCCTCCTGCACCTCAAAAATAATGAAACCTCCCTGAAAATTAGGCCGAGTGTTTATTTCAGGGGTCTGTCTTATTTTCAGGGAAACACATTAGTGACCATTCAAAATTACAACAGCACTGAAAAAAGTGACTTATAACCATTTTTCATACTCGCGACCATTGCAGTATTCCCATGGTCACGTGAATAAAATTCAGATGCTTCGCAATTGACGGTTGCAGCGTCCCATGGTCATGTGATCACCTTTTATGGCCTTCTGACAAGCAAATTCAATGGGGAAACCTGATTCACTTAACCCGTGTTAACTGATTTAACAACTGCAGCGATTTATTTTAACAAATCTGTTTAGAAAAATCTAAAATGGGGCAGAACTCAATAAATTTCTCAGTTAACAACATAAATTTTGGGCTCAGTTGTGGTCATAGGTTGAGGACTATCTGTATTAGCAGAAATACTTTATACATTGTGTGAATACTGAAGGAGATATTTAGGAAAGACAAAAACATTCATAATGCATGTTTTTATTCGTATAATGCTGAATTTTGCATTCATGTATTTTGCTGAATTTTGCATTTATTTTAACATTCATTTTCATGTTTTAAGAAGGAAAAATATTAGAGGGAATCTGCTTGAAATATATTTACAGAAATATATATACAGAAATATATTTACAGTTGTCAGTACCTTTAAAATTACAGATAGTTCCTGAGATATGACTGTAATGGGGCCTATCTGTTATGGTTACATTTTGTGATAGCCATTAAGTAAAGGATCTCACTTGATGATTCTCTCCAACCCTGCTCTCTCCAATATAATAATTAAATGAACATATAGGTCACTTAATGCAGCATGGGATTCCCAGGGATGGGGGAGACTCTTGGAAGACTAGCATAGGCATAGGCCAGCCTGCCCAGGTCCTCCCAAGGCTCCCCATTCCCGGAGAGACTCCATGCTCTGATTCCTACCCCTTGGTTCCACACACCTTTTCCAACTGCCACTGAGTCTCCTCAAGCCTTAGGCTTGATTCCCATTCCACCACGTCAAACATCCTCCTTTCCTTCTGAAGAGCCCTGAGGCCTTCCAGAATGCTGGAATGGATCACTTAATTGCATAATTATATAGTGCGATTCCAGAAGTGCCAGTGATATTTACAGCTACCAGAATGCAATTCAGCCCCTGGATACATAACAGCTGCTTCCAAAATTGTACCATGCAGCTGAGCACAAAGTGACTTGTTCCAGTGCTATGGAACGTTTCGGAGATCTTCACAAGGTAAGTGAGGAGGAGTGTGTGGAGCTTGGTGGAGTGGGAATCAGTCCTAAAGCTAGCAGGGAGCTGTTCAGAGAGGGAAATGTTTGCAGAGACCCTGGGGGGAGGGTAGGAGGGAAGATAGGTGGGTGGTGCTGCTGCAGCATCCTTACAGTTGGTCATAAGGGCAAATGAATTGTGGGGGCGCTGCAGCGGCCGTAACTATGGGGCTCTGTTGTAAATAGCTTTTACGGGGGTCCGCTGTAATTCGAACAGTTGTTAAGTTGTAAGTTTCAATTTAAGGAACTTAAATTGTTATAAGACTCTTGTGGTCGTTATACACTTGGAGTTTAGGAATATTAATATAACAATAATCATCTGTAATCTTACAACAGATTTCAAAGGCGGCCCAAGAACATTGTTGTGGTTATGATTCTGTCATTATGAATGACACTTTGCAACGAATATTAGCTAATTGTTGAATTGTGTTTGTTTCAGAATCTTCACTGCAAACATCTCATTCTTTCACCCTACCTTCAGAAGAGGATAGTGTATTATTCAACAAATTATTATACCTCGGATGTATGAAAGTTTCTGCTCCCCGCAGTGAAGCAGAGGCCTTGTGTGCCATGGCAACTTTGAAAAACTCAAATCCTTCTCCATCTCCTGTAACTCTTTATGTTCCAAATATTCCAGATGGTTCTGTTAGGTGAGCTGGATGTTTCTACTGAGTATATGCAAGGTATCCAAATAAGTTTTAGAACAGGATTAGATTAGATATGAAAATAATAGATTCCTGCTTCCTCCTGTAGGAGCTTCAACTTGCTCAGTAGAATCTATTGTTTTGTGTTTTGAAGATCGTATCTAATTCCCATCTTTCTTTCAAGTTCCTCAAATGTTGCCTGGATGTTTGCAGTGTGTAGCTGATAGCAGGTAGCTGATTAGGAAAGCAGGTGCCTTCATTCCAGTCTAGACATAACACGAAAGGGTATTTGGCAGCTTTATAAGCTCAAGTGGGGTGTTTTTTGGAGCAGAGCTTTTTTTAGATTTGGTTTGAAGTTTATGATCCAAGTAAGGAGCTGTTTGCATTTTTACTAGATTAAGAATGGTTCTACCACAAAACCACGTTCGACTAAACCGCACTCGACGAAACCGCGTAGCTGACGTCATCAACAGGGCGACAACAGCACG